TTGGATTTTACTGCCTCCACTTGACTAAATTTCTCCCCTGAGGCCACCAGTGCTCTTCTAAGTGACAAAGTCCCCCTTGTTTAGGTTTGAGCCCCTAACATTACTAGGTTTTCAATGTTCTCTTTATTTTCAATACATAAACCTATGGTTCAACAATTAAAGCAATCTAAAGAGATACTCAGCAAAGCCCTCACTCATCCTCTTCCCCGTTCTCACTGTCCATCCCCCAGGAAGTAAGCCCTCGTGTTATCTTCTTGGGTGTCTTCTCCAGAATGTGTCCTCGTTCCCTCTCCCTCCCGTTGCACGCACACACTGTGTGAGGTGGGGGGTGCTCTGCCCTGTTCTCCCAGGATGTTACCTCTGTGGGCTTCCAGGCCGGCCCTTGGGACATGTCCTCAGTCTTTTTTGCAGCTGAGTTCTCGCTGGATCTGCAAGTTGCTTGTTTTCAAGGTCCTTTTTTTTTTAAGATCAATTTTAGTGTCATAGCAAAATTGAGCAGAAAGGTACAGGGAGTTCCCATACACCCTCTGCCCTCACACACGCACAGCCCTGCCCCACCTTCAAAGGCTGCCACCAGAGTGGTACATTCGTTACAACTGATGAACCTACACTGACATATCATTATTGCTCAGCAACCATAGTTTAGATCAGGGTTCACTATTGACGTACAGTCTACAGACTTTAACAAATTTACAGTGACAAGCATTCACCATTTTAGTGTCATGCAGAGTACTGCAATTGCAGTAGCTACTCAAAATCTTCTGAGCTCTCTACCTTTCTCCTTCCCTCCACCCTAAGCCCTGGCAAACACTGATCTTCTTACTGTCTCCATGGTTTTGACTTTTCCAGCACAGGCACACCTCAGGCACAGTGCTGGTTCAGTCCAGACCACCACAATGAAGCAAACAGTGTAATAAAGTAAGCCCCATTTTTGGTTTACCAGTGCATATAAAAGTTATGTTTCACTATATTGCAGCCTTTTAAATGTGCAATAGCATTATGTCTAAAATTATGTACATACATTAATCAAAAAATACTTCTTTAAAAATGCTAACCTTCATCAGAGCTTTTCAGTGAGTCACAGTCTTTTTTACTGGTGGAGGTCTTGCCTCCATGTTGATGGCTGCTGACTGCTCAGGGTGGTGGGTGCTGAACGTTGGGGTGCCTGTGACAATTTCTTAAAGTAAGACAACAAGGAAGTTTGCTGCGCTGATTGACTGTTCCTTTCATGAACAATTTCTCTGTAGCACGTGATGCTGTTTGATAGCATTTTACCCACAGTAGAAGTTCTTTCAAAACTGGAGTCAATCTTCTCAAACCCTGCCACTGCTTTATCAACTAAATGTATGTAATATTCTAAATCCTTTATTGTCATTTAAACAGTCCTCACAGCATCTTCACCAGGAGCAGATTCCTTCTCAAGAAACCACTTTCGTTGCTCATCCATAAGAAGCAACTTCTAATCCATTCAAGTTTTATCATGAGATTGCAGCCATTCAGTCACATCTTCAGGTTCCACTTCTCATTCTAGTTCTCTTGCTGTTTCCACCACATCTGCAGTGACTTCCTCCACTGAAGTCTCAAACCCATCACAGTCATCCATGAAGGCTGGAATCAACTTTCTCCAAACACCTGTCTATGTTGGGGTTTTGACCTCCACCCATGAACCATGAATGTTCTTAGTAGCAGACAGAATGACAAATGCTTTCCAGAAGGTTTCCAATTTCCTTTGTCTGGGTCCATCAAAGGAATCACTCTCTATGGCAGTATAGCCTTATGAAATGCATTTCTTATATAATAAGACTTCAAAATCAAAATTACTCCTTGATCCATGGGCTGCAGAATCGATATGGTATTAGCAGGCATGAAAACAACATTAGTCTCATTGTACATGCCCATCAGAGTACTTAGGTGATGAGCAGTAATATTTAGAAAAGAATCTTTTTCTCTGAGCATAAGGTCTCAACAACAGGCTTAAAATATTCAGTAAGCCATGTTGTAAACAGATGTGCTATCATCTAGGCTTTGTTGTTCCTTTTATAAAGCACAGACAGTGTACCTTCAGAATAATTCTAAAGGCCCTGGGATTTTTGGAATGGTCAGTGAGCCTTGGCATCAACTTGAGGTCCCCAGCTGCATTAGCCCCTCACAAGAGAGACAGCCTGTCTTTGAAGCTTTGAAGCCAGGCATTGACTTCTCCTCTGTAGCTATGAAAGTTTTAGTGGCATCTTCTCCCAAATAAGGCTGTTTCATCTACACTGAGTATCTGCTGTAGCCATCTGAGTTAATCATCTCAGACCTTGCAGCTTCTACATTAGCCCCTGCTGCTTCACCTTGCACTTTTATGTCATGGAGATGGCTTCTTTCCTTAAACCTCATGAACCCTCTGCTGGCTTCCAACCTTTCTTCTGCAGCTTCCTCACCTCTCTCAGACTTCACAGAATTGAAGAGAGTCAGAGCCTTGCTCTGCATTAGGCTTTAGCTTAAGGGAATGCTGTGGTTGGTTTGATCATGTATCTAGACCACTCAAATATTTCTCTGTATCAGCATTAAGACTTTCACTTTCTTATCATTCTTGTATTCACTGGAATAATACATTCAATTTCCTTCAAGAACTTTTCCTTTACATTCACAACTTGGCTAACTGGTGCAAGATGCCTCGTTTTCAGCCTGTATAGGCTTTCAACATGCCTTCCTCACTAAGGTTAGTCATTTCTAGCTTTTGATTTAAAGTGAGAGACATGTGATGCTGCCTTTCATTTGAACACTTAGAGGCCATTGTAGGGTTACTAGTTGCCCTAACTTCAATACTGTGTGTCTCAGAGGGAGAGGGATGGGGGAAATGGCCAATTGGTGGAGCAGTCAGAACACACACAGCATTTATCAATTAAATTTGCCATCTGATATGAGGGTGGTTCCTGGTGCCTCAAAACAATTACAATAGTAATATTAAAGATCACAGATCATCATAACAAAGGTAATAATAATGAAAAAGTTTGAAATATTATAAGAATTACCAAAATGTGACACAAATGCTTTTGGAAAAAGGGTGCCAATAGACTTGTTCAAACCAAGGTTGCCACAAATCTTCAATTTGTAAAAAAATAAAAACTACAGTATCTGATCTGCAAAGTGCAATAAAAGGAGGCATGACAGCATATTATATAATTGGAATCATACACTATGTAGCCTTTTCAAATTGTTTTCTTTCACTTAGTAATGTGCATTTAAGGTTCCTCCATGTGCTTTCATGCCTTTATAGTTCATTCTTTGGAGCTGAATAATATTCCATTGTCTGAATGCACCACAGTTTATTAATCCATTCATCTACTGAAGGACCCTGTTTTAAAAGTCGGCTCTTGGAGGCTTTGAGGAAACACACTTTGAGGTGTTCTTGGATTGCTATAAATAGATACAGTCTTTCTTGAGCATAGTCTGGAAAAATTTATAAAACAAGACAATAAAATAGCTGTACCCTTTGACCAAATTAATCCACCCATGGAAATTTTCCTTATGAAAATAATTTAAGAGAAAAAAAGTCAAAAAAGTCCATGGGGCAAGAATTCTCTGGGGAAAAGGAAGAGGCAGAGCCCCTAGTGGAAGGAATCTGAACTACCTGGAGATTTTTTGCAGTCGACACCTGCTTTTCTCCTTTCCCAAGTTTCTGAAGCCTTCTTTCCTCACTGTACCTATATTAGCCTGGTTAGAAATCACACTCTATCCTTCTACCTTTAACTTTTTTATTTTTTAACCTTATAACTGAAGTGTTAAATGTATTTTTAAGTGTTCAAATCAAAGATAAATTATCACAAATTGTTAATATTACAAATTCTCACAAGTCACAGCCATATAATAACCCAGGTCAAGAAATACAACATTACCAGCTCTTCTCTTGATGGGTTCCAATCTCTCCCTCTATACTCCATGCCTAAGAGCATCATTATCCTGACATCTCACACTATAAAATGCTTTGCCTGTTTTTTACCTTTATATTATTATCATATAGTATACATTATTTTATGTCTAACTTCATTTGCTCAACATTATGTTTGTAAAACTCACCTATCTTGGGGCTGTGTGTAAATGTAGCTTTTTGCTTACTTGGTTTTTATTTGTTTTGCGGTTAGGAATTCCACTGCATTAATAGAATTTTTTTTATCCAGATTCTTTTTCATGGACATTTAAATTGTTTCCAGTTCTTGGGTATTACCAATAATGTTGTTCTAAATAAGTCTGTATAGCTCTTAGGATGCATACACACATATTTTTGTTGGGCATATACCAGTGTGTTAGATTGTTATGTTATGCCTACGTACAACTCTTAAATAATGCTGAACATTTTTCAAAGTGGTACACTCCCACCAGCAGTGTATTTGAGTACCTGTTGCCCCACATTTCTGCCAACTTGGTATTGTCAGTCTTTTAATTTTAACCATTTTGGAGGTGTGTGGTGGTGACTCAGCAAGGTTCTAATTTGTAGTTCCCTGAGAGCCAGCCTACCTCCTCCTTCAATGTACCTCCACCTCTCTTCCTTCCCAAGAGCCTCTAAGAATAAAAAGTTGGCCATATTTCATAAATTCATTGTCCTTTGGGCATCCTTAAAGTGCATTTTTTGCTCATTTTTCGATTATTTTTTATGTTAACTTGTAAGAGCTCTTTAAATGTTCTGAAACAAACCCTTTGTTAATTACACATGTTGTTCCCCACACCTAGTCCACCTTTAACTTTTAAATCCTCTCATTTTCAACTGTACAAACAGGAAGCTCAGTTTAATTTTGAAATTCTCAAAAGTGACCAGTAGATGGCGTCCTAAGCCTTGCGCATAGCCTTCCTTGGCTGTGCTTGAATTTCAGCTAAATCTCCCAAAATCTTTTGCAAGGAAGCAATGTTAAGGATGAAAAATCTAACTTTAAACTATTATGCAGCTAGGACTGTGTTTCCTGGTGGGAACAACACATGAATCATTTTTACTCAGGATAAAGGAATAGAAAGGACTTTACCACAAGGCAGGACCGCTGGCGTGAGACTTGCCTGAGACGGGTGGGCCGCCAGGTGAAATCCATGGAAATACCTTCTGAGAGTCACCTGCAGACAGATTTAAAAAGAGCATAACTACCATGCATGGCATTTGGACAGCTTCATGGTTTACAAAAGGCAGGTGCCCACTAGCATAGGTCTGAGAAGAAAGCAGAAACAGGGGTTTGAACGGGGGGTGTAAGTATTTTTCCACCTCCTCCCCCTTATTCCTCTTTTTGTTTTTCATCAATTATATTTTCTGATTATTTAAGATTGCCTTTGTTGGGGAGGGGAGCCTCAGAAACCAGTGAGAAACCAGCCCCACTTGTGGTGGAAATAGTGTTTGAATGCTGACGCCTCATAGGCAACCAGCAGCCTGCCTCCTTCTGCCCCTCCCGCCTCTGCTCAGGGTGGATGTTCCTCTGGAGTGGCCCCCCACTCAGGCTTGGACAGACCTTGCATCCTCCGTCCTCTTCCCTACCCCTCTCCCCACTGAATAAATGAACGAATGAATGACAAGGTCCTAGCCTTCCTAAGCTCAGAAACAAGAGCTCTGTAAACCCCACACTCAACGAAAGACCCCAAGGGAGAGCCAGAAGCTCTGCAAGTGGAGGCGTCTCCTCTGAGAAGGAGCTGGGAAGGGCCTGGTGCGATGGGTTGGCCTGTGATTGGCAGCGATTATGAGCGAGAGGAAGGCACTGTTAGTTGAGGGTGAGTGTCTAGCCAATGGGTTTCAGCCCCGGGCAAGTTCACTGTGGATTCAGTGTGACCAAAGAAAATGACAGCAAAATGTTCTTGGGGTGAAAGGGTTATACCCAACTTTATTTCCAGGCGGCAGGTCAGTCACTAAAATCCCATTCACTCAGAGTGAGTCTGCATGCAGCAAGCCAGTCTCTGCCTCTGGGCCCCTCTGTCGGCACAGCCGTCCCACACAGCCGTTTTCCGGGCCTCTCTGCACAGTCGTCCCACACAGCCATCCTCTGGGCCTCTGTCCTCAGTGCTGCCACCACTCCAGCCTCTGCTCTGCTCTCCTGCAGCCTTGCAGTCCTGCCACCGTGTCATGCCCAGAGCTCTGGGCAGAACTCTTTATATAGCGTCAACAGCCATGTATTGCCCACAGGTGTGCAGTGAGCTAGTCAACCAGGGCCAGGTGAGAATTCTGGTCATAGGAACTCTCATTTTATCCACAGTGAGACATAAAGCAGGGCTGGAAGTCTATTTGGGATGTGGTGGGAAGGTGACCCTGTTTCCTTAGCCTTCCCAGTGGTCATCAGCAGGGACACAGGAACACCAAGCCAGAGATTCAATTCATTTCTTTCTTTGGGGTAGCCAAGACAAGGTTTCCCCCCTGTGGATCACCACCTCTGATGTCCCCCAGACTGAGCACAAAGCCTGGCACATTTAGGACCTGTTGGATTACCTCATTGGTGCTTTTGATTCTCACTGTTCAGAAGTGAGCCCAGGTCAAGTTGCACCCTTGAGGCTCTCTGTCCCACGTATGTTCAGACCCAGCATGACCTGCCCTGCCTTGCAGCCCTTGGAAATAAAGAGAGGCTCAGAAAGAGGCTTTGTTCTCTTTTGTTTTCTTCTTTGGGGATAATTGGGTAAGCCTGCTTTCTGAGCAATGTGGAAGTTCCTACCCTGAAACTGGATTTCACACCTTCAAAGATGAAGGACATTGCATCACTCAAACTTCCTGGCTCTGGGAGCTGCCCGGGTAGGTGTCCAGAGGCTGGGGCCTGGGTAAGCCCAACGCCCACAGGTCCAGACCAGGAACACATGTGTCTGCCGGGCGGGAGGGCATGTCCTGGGCCAGGCTCTGCTCCTCTGGGGCTGACTATAAATGGGGATGCTGAGGCCTGCCACCTGCCACCTAGTCTGACAGTGTCCACGGCTTTGACAGGGAGAGGATGCCAGGTGAGTACACATCAGTGGAAACATTGTTGCCTAACACTTGGGGTTTGAAATCTCCCCATTTAGCCTGGCCCACATGGCACCCTGGCTTGCTGTAGCCAGTCTGTATACTTATAAAAGCTAATTGTTAAATCTTGGGGAATTTTGCAAACAAGTTATTGAACAGCCACTATTTTTTTTTGAGAGGTTATCTCATATTTATTGATCAAATGGTTGTTAACAACAATTAAATTCTGTATAGGGGGGGTCAATGCTCAATGCACAATCATTAATCCATCTAAAGCCTAGTTCTCATCAGTCTCCAATCTTCTGAAGCATAACGAACAAGTTCTTACATAGTGAACGAATTCTTACATAGTGAATAAGTTCTTACATGGTGAACAGTACAAGGGCATTCATCACAGAAACTTTCGGTTCTGATCACGCATTATGAACTATAAATAATCAGGTCAAATATGAATATTCGTTTGATTTTTTTTTGGTATTATTTCCATCCCTTTAATAAATTTTGTTTTTCCAACCACATGGTCATAGTTAAATTATCCATATGATACTGTGTTAAACAAATTCAAGCACACCTATGTGATGGGATTCTTCACAGTAACTAGTAACAAGACATTTTTTTTTTGAGAGGGCATCTCTCATATTTATTGATCAAATGGTTGTTAACAACAATAAAATTCTGTATAGGGGGGTCAATGCTCAATGCACAGTCATTAATCCATCTCAAGCCTAATTCTCATCAGTCTCCAATCTTCTGAAGCATAACGAACAAGTTCTTACATGGTGAAAAAATTCTTACATAGTGAATAAGTTCTTACATGGTGAACAGTACAAGGGCAGTCATCACAGAACCTTACGGTTTTGATAACACATTATGAACTATAAACAATCAGGTCAAATATGAATATTCATTTGATTTTTATACTTGATTTATATGTGGATCCCACATTTCTCCCTTTATTATTATTATTTTTTTTATTTTTAATAAACTGCTGAAGTGGTAGGTAGATGCAAGATAAAGGTAGAAAACATAGTTTAGTGTTGTAAGAGAGCAATTGTAGATGATCAGGTGTGTGCCTGTAGACTATGTGCTAATCCGAGCTAGACAAGGGCAATAAAACATCCATGGATGCAGAAGCTTTCTCTCAACACGGGGTGGGGGAGGGGGTGAGGTTCTAAGCTTCACCACTGTTGTTCCCCAATTTCTCACCTGATGGCCCCCCGCGACTGTAACAGCCACTATTTTTTAAATTAATAAAAACTGACAAGAAAATGTTATATTTTAAAACAATAAATATTCAAAACTCATCACTTCCTAATTATTTAATTACACTTTGTACTTGTAAATATGTGTACACTTTTGAAGCTCTGTGTGCCTATTGCATCTGTGTCTGCCTGGTAGAAATAATATATAATGGTGTGGTACTGTCTCTTCCCAGTCTGCCTTCTGAGACATCACGCTGGTAGCCTGCAGTCGGTCACCGTAGGAACAGTTACACCACAGCCATCAATAAAGGCTGCCAACGAGGCGGCGTGCACCACGTGCCCGTTACGTGTCTGCTGGCGCACAGCCGCCCCTCGCCCGTGGCTCCCGGAACCTGGATGTGCAATAGCTGGGAGGATGCCAGCCCTCAGTTTTCCACCTGATACTGCCGGCTCTGGACATTTTTCTCGGCCAGACCACAGGCGGGAGAGGAAAAGGGGAGGACATGGAAGGAAACTGGCTGCCACCCCTGACTTCCCCTAGAACGTCTCAGGGGAAAGGCTGGGCCCTCTGTGGGTGGGAGGACTACCGGGGGGAATTCAGGGGAGAAAAGCCAGGGCAACAAGGGTAATAAGCAGAAACACGTGACTGAGCTGAAGAGAAAGGGCAGCCGTTCAGGAGGGTGCACCGGTAGAGACGCACAGGGGAGACCACAGAATGCGGTGTTCTTGTGACCATGAAAGAGGGGCGAGCCGAGAACACCCCGAAGTTGAACCCTGTGGAGTTGGGGAGTCAGTGATGGCTCTACGTGCTGGTGGCTCCTACTCCCCTGCCTGTAATAATGGGCCAATGATAAGGAGGGTGGAGAGAAGAGAGGAAGTCCCAGGGCTCAGAGTCCTGAGGTGGAGCCCCTAGTGCCTCTCAATCCTCCTGACACCCTGACTCACTCCTCCGCCACCTCCTTAAAGGTTCGCTTCGCCAGAGTGTCCCAGCCATCCTCTCCACATCCTACCACACACTCGCCCTATGTCTTCTCACTCACATCTAAGGCTTCCAGAACCTACCATTGCTGGAGACATCCCAGTTTCTATCTTGAGTGGGATGTCGCAGTCACCCAAGGTCACCACCTAGTCCTCCAATCCTGCTGTGGCCGACAGGCTCCTGTCGCAGAGGGAGGCAGCGTCCAGGGCCAGCTGCCGACCCAGGAGGTCTTTGTCAAGAGCCCCTCACAGATCAGGGGAGACCCCCCATCTGCTCCCCACATCGCTCCTCCTCCCCTAACCCACCCCCCATGCCTCTGACCACTGCTTCCCAAACTTAAATGTGCACTGTGTACAAAGATATCTGACATTGCATTTATTAAATAATAATATCACCCATCCTTAAAGTCGTATATACAAGTTACAGTCAGAATTTCATCCATTTAACATCCACTGAGCAGTTACTATGTGCAGGAATGGGGCCCAGCCCCGGCCCTCCAGGACTCATGGCCTCTTGAGGGGACAGTCACACGAAGAGATAATGAACCACAGCAATGCCTGAGATAAGGATAGTATCACGTGCACACAAGAATCATTTCTCATTTACTTGTTCACTTAATGCCTTCGGAGCTGAACAGTTGCTACGTGCTAGGCATTGTGCTGGGGACCGGAATCCTACAGAGAACGTAATACACACTATCGCCTCTCCCGGAGCTTGTGTGCTAGCAGGGGCACAGGCAATAAACAGATGCTTATACAAACAATTGATTATGCGATGAGTGCGGGAGAAGAACACTGCCTCCTTGTAACTCCCGGCTCCCACCACAGCCAAGTGCTCGCAGGGCCTGCCTGCTGGCCCGCCCTCGCTGTCCCCTCTCCGGGGATGCCCTCTCGCCTTCCGTTGACCGAATCTCTCTACCCTCCAGGTCTCAGCTCAGGGTTCTCTCCTCCCCGGGGTCTTCCTGAAACTTGAGGTGGGTCCGAGGCTCCTGTCCATCCCTGCGAGGATGCAGAGCACCGCAGCCCCGTGTCCTCCCTGGTCCTCGGCATTGCGGACCCTCAGTAAATGTTTGCTGGGTGATTAACTGCTAGGTCCTCTTAATCCATGTGTATTTGCATTTAAATAAATTAATTATAAAATTATTTACATCGATTTCACACATTCAGAAAAGGCAAGAGCTGAGTGCTAATAAAGGTACAGAGAAATATTTCTTCAAACAAGGATGCTTGTGCCCCGAGGGCTTTCAGATGACTGGCTAAGATTCCGTTGAAGGGCGTGTTCCTGGGAGGCTCCCAGAGGGCTGCCCCTGATGTGAGGGCCCCGCTGCCCAGTCGCTTGCCCCCTTTGCGGAGCGTCATTGCACCGCCCCCAGAAGCCCCGGCTGACCTCCCACTACCACCCACCACCCTCTCCGTGGAGCCTGGGATCCGCGGCTAGACTTAGCTCATATGGGCTGAGCTTTGTAGGGAGAGGGGCCTCTGGAAAAGGAGGGGAGCCCCAGAGGCTGGAGCAGCTGCACCCTGGCTGCAGCTAGCACGTTAACCCCAGCAGCCTTGTCAAGGCGTCCAAGCTCCTGTCTGCTGGGTCTGGGGGAGGAACTCCACTCCCTCCCCTGCCCACGCGGGAGTGTCAGCCTGGGCCTTGTGGCTGAGGCTGTGCAGGTCGGCGAGCCTTGTCACTCACCACTCTGAAAAGCCTCCTGTCCCCTCCAGCAGAGGCTTTGTTCTGTCTGGGGTGCTCGCCCTCGGCAGCTCACCCACAAACCCCACGCCGCTGTCCTGAGCCTCCTCCGTCCCTGGAGTCATACGATCCATCGGCTGGTCCACCCTCTTCATTTTACAGCTGATGAAACTGAGGCCCTTTGAGGGAATGAAAAGCCCACAGCCGGGAAGGGCAGAGGCGTGCTTTAAAAACAAACAGAAGTCAGTCTCCTGACTCTCAGTCAGCCTGGGGCCCTCCTGCTAAGCCCTGCTGCCAGCCTATTTTTGGTAGGCTGCCCTGACTTTTCCAGCTGGTTTGAACCTGAAAGTCATGCCTCCAACTAATGAAACTTGCAGGAAGCATTGCCACCCCACCTACAAACTCCGCCAGGGCCAGTCTCGCTCATCAGCCTTTCCGACCCAGGAGTGGAGGCAAAGCCTGACCCAACTTGACAGGCATCTCCCAGGCAGGGACCAGGGAAGGAACTGCACAGTCCCTCCCGTCAGGACTCAGGGGTCAGGAGTGGCTGCCAGGCCAGCCTTAAAGGAGGAACCAAGCACAGGTGCGCTCTGTTACCTTCCTGGCTCATAAACACGAACGAACTCTCCCTGCCTGATAGGAAAAAGCCCAGCCTCTTGGCCCAGCCCCCAAGCCTCTCCCATGCCGGCCACAACCTGCCTGTCCACCCTCATCTCCCACCACGGTGGACCCCATGCCCTTTCCTCACCCAGCACACCATCCCTCAGGTGGCACCACACCCCTTGGGCCTCTCTGACTTTCTAGGTGCGGTTCCCTCTGCCTCCCAATGCCCTTCCCTACTTCTCCATGTGTTAAGCTCCTTCGCATTGTTAAGACCCAGCTCAGAAGTCACTCCCATCTGTGCAGGTGTTTCCTCCTCCTCCCACCTCGGCCCCCTCCTCTTCCTCCTGCCACCTCCACCACACTTCCTCGGGGACACCCGGAATACTTCTGTGTCAACTTTACAGCATAACAATAACGTAAAAGGCCATGACTCTATGTGCTACCTCAGCTCCTCAGTGAAGGCAATTGTATCTTTATTGTCAGTCTTAGAGCCCAGCATGTAGTAGACACTCAAAAAGGGAATAAATTTCTAAACAAAATGAATATATGGAGTCTGGATTTATTCCAGGAAGCAAGTCTTAATGTTATACCAGGATCCCCTTTTGTTATTCAACAAAGTACTGCCATGTGAAAAGCACTGTATAGACAAAGTACTGGAACTCAGGGCCAGAGAAGACGCCAGGAGTTTATATTTTGGAGGTACACACAAGGTAGAGAAGAGTACGAATTAAAGAAAATGGCTAGCGCCAAGTGACCACTGTTGCCAGCAGATTACTGCGTTTAATCTGACATCAACCCTACAAGGTGGGCACTCTTAGTTTTATTCTCATTTTACTAATGAGGAGTTTGAGGCTTTCAGAAGTGGAGAGACTTGCGATGGCACAACTGATGAATAATTAAGGCAGAATATGAACCCAGGCTGCCCCCAAGCTCCACACGCCCAAACAGAAAGATCTGGTATAAATGTTTTATTTTCTTGATTAGTGAGCTTCAACATTGTCTTCACACAGCAAACACCTGGAGAGCTTAAAAAGGCACTAATGTCCACCCTAGTCCTACTCCAGAGATTCTGACATAACTGGTCTGCGGTGCACCCTGGGACCAGGGATTCCAAAGTGCAGTGAGGGCCGAGAGCCACTGCTCTCATGGGGAAGTGTCAGGCGTCAAGAGTGTGAGATGGCCTACCTGCAGCCTAGATGCTCCGTGGTTCTGTCAGGGTCCTGTCTGTGGAGACACAGAGTTGTCCTGTACCCTGGGAGGGGCCCCAGACTGTGGGCAGGGCTGCCGCTTCCTCCCTTGCATTCTCTGGTGTCTCACCAACTGCGACCTTCCTGTGGCCCTGGAGTTGCCAAAGACATCTTACTGGGGAGATTCCATGGTTCCCTGCAAGGAGATGTGGGCTCTCCAGGCCGACCCCCAGCTTTCAGTACGAAGGAGCCAAGATCTGTGGGTCACAACAAAGACAACTGATCTGAGGACCCTGGGTGGATGGCTTGTGGGTTGCCAACCTGCTATAGCTGGAAGGGACTGGAAAAACCCCACACACACCCACAGCTCCCAGTAGGCAGGCTCTCTGGGGCAGAGGCAGAGGAGTGAGGAGAGGACTTCCGGCTCCACCCACTGACTCCTGTCATCAGCAGCCACTGGACCCCACGCACTTGCAGGCTCTGAGGGACAGGGTGGCTACAGCCAGCAAGGCTGGGTTTCCCCTTCTTAGGCCCCGACAGTGACTCAGGGACAAATATTGAAAGCAGATGGTGAACTCAGCCCCCCTGCCCACTGGAGAGCATGACCCTGCCCTAGAGCCCTCTAAACAGCATAGCAGCCCTCTAAACAGGGGCACAGAGAGCCTAGGGTCTGGTGGGACAGAGCTGGCAGCATGGTGGATGTGTATGAGGTACACAGCACACTGCCCTCATTAGTTGGCTGCCTTGAACCCCCTGTTCCTCACAGAGGTGTCGTGAGCACAATTTCATGCAATCCTCCCACAGCACCTGAGGCAGGTACCATCCCTACCCAGCTCCACACATGCAGAGAGTTTGGGACTCTGCCCAGATCACAGTCACCTCTTGGGTAGAGCGGGATTCCTGTCTGAGGCCCTGGGGCAATGCACTTGTTAGACCATCTCAGAGACCCCTCCCAGCCCCAAAACTTCCCACCTCGCTAGTCCTGAGTTTCGATGATTCATGGGCTGTCTGCCTATGTGAAACGTCACTCAGAGCAGCCACGTCTGTTCTTCTGGTCTTGGAGGCCAGGCTGTGCCCTATTGCTTCACCCTGCCATGACCATGATGACAGCTTCCTGTCCAGGGAGAGCAATGGGGTGAGACACCAGACAGGCCATAGCAGAGGATGGGTCGCACCCCTGGCCTGTGCTTGTTTTAAGGGCAGAGACCCCATTTTCATTACCTTTGTATAATCCCCTCCTCATTACCTGGCACAGTGCATGGCACATGGCAGATGCTCCTTAAATGTTTTCTGAATAATTAAACCTAGTGGTGAATCCCTTTGCAAAACTTTGTGCCATAATTTATCTCTGGCATACTTAATCTCAAAGATTTTAAGTAAGCATTTATTCAACAAATGTATATAATGACTGCCTACCATACACCCAAAAAAACTAGCTCCTTACAAAGCTCAAATTTCATAAGGGAAGAAATTAATCAATTTTCCAAATGGGCATAAAATGACACTGTGATATTACTAAAGGAAAGGGCCACAGGACAATGGAAATAGAGGTAACAGGACCTGCCAGGGGGCTGAAGAAGCCTTCTTTGAGGAAGAGATTTGCACATTGATCTACCCACCAACTGGCCCTTGTGGACCATGTTCCAGAGAGCGCTTAGTAAGGTGCTGGGCACGTCGTGGATGCTTGAGTGATTTCCCCCACAAATATCCTGCAGTACAAGAGGAAAACCCATGTCTCCTGAGTCAAAGACATGCTCAAGCTTTTAGGTGTAAATTTCTGGTCAAGAGGAAAGAGCATTTTTTTTATGCAAAGCAGCTTAAGCTGAAACTGACCTCACCACAGGCGTTGTTTTCTTCAGCGAGTGAGGAAATGAGCCAACTCTCCTGGAACCGCAGGGGCACACCCAGATTGCCCAGCAGCGCAGAGCTGTGCAGCCCTGTATCCTCCCGGTCCTTCCCCAGCCACGGGCCCTGGAGAGACACCCTCCTCAGTGCCAGCTCCTCCACAGCCAAAGGTCCACAGGGGACAGCCCCAGGTGGAGACTCCCCAGGTCAGCCCAGGCACGGGCAAGGGCAGGCTTGTCTCTGTGACCCTGGGACCAGCCCGAGGCGCAGACCAAACTGTCAGTGCAATTAGGAGATGGATGATGGCTCTGATCCCTCTGGGGCTTCGACTGGAGCTGCCCTCATCCCTTCTCAGGGCTCTTAGCTCAAAATAATAATCCTCCAGGCCCTGAACAGGTGCCCTCCCTCACCTCAGCTTCTTTCTGGCTTTCTGCCCAGTTCTCCTTTCTCTCCTGATTGACTTCCTTCAATTTCACTCCTTCAGTTACTCGGGGTGCAAGTGGCCCTGTTATTTAGCCTCTCAGCCCTGACTTTCCCGAAGGACCTAGTAGCCTTTAACCCAGAGCCTCGTGGGGCCTTGGAGAAGAGGGCTGAAAACACTGCTGTTCCTCTAAGAACTAGTCTCCTCGCCTTCTCATCCGCTCTCCTTCCTGCTGATCAAACTGTTTCCCTTTGCATGTAGAGATGGCAACTACATCACAAATTCTTCCTGACTCCATGGCTTAAGACTTAAACACTGTGCTCAGTTTCCAGAGCTTTGTAGTCCAGGGAAAGTCCTCTCTTTCCCAGCATACTGTGCACATAGACACACTCTCAAGCTAAGTGCTCTATGGGTAGGAAGGCTCTATGTTGAAACTTCTTTATTCTAGAGCTTCTCAAACTTCAGCCATACATAATAACCTGAAGAGCTTATGTGTTAAAGCACGGAATCCCGGGCTCCCCTCTCACCACCCGGAGATTCAGTAGGGCTGGGGTATGGTCCAGAATTCACACCACTTCTGGCAGTGTCGGTGGTGCATCAGGTGACATGATGCTGACGGTGCCCATCCACCCAGCTGCACTTGGAATAAGACTGTACTTCCATCTTTAGTCCTCACCCTGAGGCAAGGAATACTCCTGGTTGGAGGGAAGAGCAAAGAGGAGAGAATGCAGGAATCAAATGTCTCAGTGAAAACATTTATAAATATTAACTTACCCCACAGGTTTACCCTAGAGATGAATCCTGTTTTACAAAGTAAGCTTCTGAGAAGTCAGAAAACTTGCCCAGGTAGTCCAACTTTTAACTGTCTGAGCCTGGAGTCAGGTGCTGATCTGTCCACTTGCCCCTGGGCCACTGTGTCAGCTATGAGGCTGAATTAATCTCAGATTTGATTGTCACTGGCAGAATGTCTTGTTTGAGGGTTTCAGCTCCAGGCAAGTTCACTATGAATTCAGTAAGACCAAGAAATGACAACGGATTGTTCTTGGGGTAAAAGGGTTTATAGCTGGCTTTATTCTCCTTGCAGTAAGTTGAGCACTAGAATCATGACTGCATCCAGCAGTCTGCAGGTGCCCCAGCTCCGTCTCTGCCTCTGCCCAGAGCACTGGGCAGAGCTCCTCATATAGTGACTCAGTCAGTAATAGCTCATTGCCTACAGGTGTGGAAGCAGTAGCCTAGCAGTAGGCCAGTTACATCATCAAGTAGTTTAAGGTCAGGTGAGGATCCTGGCCATAGGAACTTCCATTTTCCCCACACACAACCACCACCATTTGTCGTGACATGGGTGATTAGTAGTCATCTCTGCAGGGAAATGAAGATGTTTACAAATGCACATGCATTTACCCACACACCTGACAAATTCACTGCTCCTCAGTTTAGGGTGCAGAAAGTGTCAGGGCAGCCTGGCTGGGAGAAACATTCCCACCGCGGAGTCTTCTAGGCCTGGCCTGACCCTGCTCTCCTGATAGCAAGAGATTAACTGGT